AAGCAGAAGAGCAGTGCTCCAGTAGAGCAGCACCTCGTAATTCATTCAGTATCGTTCTGTGGTAGCTGCTCAGGGAGGTGCTCGGTTTGTACCAGTTTGCTCCATTGGAGAACATCTTTCAGGGTCATCCATGAGTAAGTAGCTGAATGTAGTGTGTTGACTCTGCTTCTTTCAGCTTTTTGTTTAAAACAAAAAAAAGGAAAAGAAAAAGGAAAGAAGAGGCTAACTGGTAGGTCTCTCTTTAATTTTAGACTGCTTTTTAAATGCCTTCATTTTTCTGCTTAACTGTACTATTTTTTAAAGAGGAGAGACCTACACAGCAAGAGATACTATGCTCTAATTTGGCATCTTGTTATTAGGACATTTATTATATTTGTTGCAGCCCAGAACTTTATTTAGTACCAGCCATGTCTCCAGATAAGACATAATTATGAAGACTTTAAAATATGCCTGGGTTTGTAGTATTAAATCCTAACAATAAACTCACAACTGTACTTTATTGTTAGGTTTTAATAACATTTTAAATAATAGAAAAGTTCTGCAACTGATTAAAAGGCTTTTTTATGTCATATAGCTGCAATGTGATCATAGCACAGAAGCAGTGGAGGGGGGGTGTAGGAAGGCTTGCTCAGTGGCAGGGTGTCAGTACCACCTTACAGAGCACGACACAGACACAGACACCATCTTCTGAAGCCTTTTAAGGGGGATCAGCTTGAGTCCCAGCTCCTGTCTTATTCTCTTCATTGGGTGGTGCCCTCTGCTGTCTAAAAATCCCTCGGAAAATGTTGGCGTTGCTGCAGTGGCGATGGTAGGGAGATGAGGGAGGGCAGGTTGCAGGGGGAGGTAATTTCTCAGCCCTGGTGATGATCTCGGTGGAAGCAGAGTATCTGTTGAGCACACAGCCCCTTCATCAGGTCGCTGTGCTGACAGGCATGAGGGAATCGTCCTGCTTGTGCAAATAACAACTGACAAGACACTTCTAATTTTCCCTGCAAGCTAAATAAAGTAGCCAACACAATAAAGCAGCTTGCTTTGCATGAATGATTTTTAGATCCAAGAAGTGACTTGAGAGGTGCAATTTAGACAGAGATTCCATCTATCAGGAAAGCTTCAAATATAATTTGTGGGAATAACTTTGGTGTGAAGCAGATGAGAGCAGACTGCTTATAAATACATACTGTCAATTATGGGATCTACTACCTGGTGCACAGCATAACTGTGATTTAGTCTGTTCTCAGTTTCTAACTGGGAGACCAGTAAACATTCCTGTGTACAGCCCTTAGGGTCACAAGTAGGACACTCACCTTAGGGTAGTTTATGTTGTCTTTGGGATGATGGAGTGGTGTCATGTGTCCCCATTACAGAATCACAGAATAGTCATGGTTGGAAAGGGCCTCTGAGATCACTGAGTCCAACCATCATAAAAACCCCCACACACTACACATCACTTCAAAAGAAAACCAACCCACACAACAAACCCCCAAACAAACACAAACACCACACACACTCCACCAAATAACACCTACAAAAAAACCCCACAACCCTACAATCTCAGCCAGTAGAACATGCCCTGAAGTTCCACATCCAAACGTTTCTTGAACACCTCCAAGGATGGTGACTCCACCACCTCCCTGGGCAGGCTGTTCCAGTGCCTGACCACTCTTGCAGTATAGAAATTCTTCCTAATATTCAGTCTAAGTCTTCCCTGGCACAAATTCAGCCTATTTCCTCTGGCTCTGTCATTATTCACTTGGGAGAAGAGGCCAACTCCCACCTCCCTACAACCTTCTTTCAGGTAGATATAAAGGGCAATGAGATCTCCTTTCAGCCTCCTCCAAACTAAACATCCCCAGTTCCTTCAGCTGCTACTTGTATAACTCTTTCTCTAGACCTTTCACCAGCTGGGTTGCTCTCCTCTGGACACCCTCCAGCATCTCAGTGTCCTTCCTATAGTGACAGGCCCAGAACTGAACTCAGTACTCAAGGTGCAGACTCACCAGTGCTGAGTACAGGGGCACAATCACCTCTTTACTCCTGCTGGCCATGCTATTCTTGATGCAGGCCAGGATGCTGTTGGCCTTCTTGGCCACACTACTGGCTCATGTCCTCTGGACACCCTCCAGCATCTCAGTGTCCTTCCTATAGTGACAGGCCCAGAACTGAACTCAGTACTCAAGGTGCAGACTCACCAGTGCTGAGTACAGGGGCACAATCACCTCTTTACTCCTGCTGGCCATGCTATTCTTGATGCAGGCCAGGATGCTGTTGGCCTTCTTGGCCACACTACTGGCTCATGTTAAGCTGGCTGTCCACCAGCAGCCCTAGCTCCTTTTCTGCTGGGCAGCTGTCCAGCCACTGCTCCCCAAGCCTGTAGCATTGCCTGGAGCTGTTGAGACCAAAACACAGGACCTGGCGCTTGGCCTCGTAATTGTAATCATGTAATTGGCCTTGGCCCACTGATCCAGCCTGTCCAGGTCCCTTTGCAGAGCCTTACTTCCCTCAACAGCTCAACACTCCCACCCAGTTTGGTATTGTCTGCAAACTTACTGAGAGGGTGCACTCAATCCCTTCATCTAGATCATTGAAAAAGATGTTGAACAAGACTGGCCCCAAAACTGAGCCCTGAGGGACACCACTAGTGACCAGCTGCCAACGATTTGACCCCATTTACCACATCTCTCTGGGCCCAGACATCCATCCAGTTTTTTACCCAGTGAAGGGTATACTTGTCCCCTCACCCAAAGGCAGGTCACATGGTCATATAAAGAGATCGAGTTGGTCAAGCAAGACCTCCCTTTCATAAACCCATACTGGCTGGCCCTGATCCCCTGACTGCCCTGCACTTGCCCTTGCCCTGTACTTACCTTCTTCTGTTTTCCTAATCACTGTTATACAAGTATATTTGATACAACACGTGTTACCTGGGCTACCCTTATACCAGCATGAGACAATGTCATTTGATAGCTTGCAAAACACAGCCACCTCAAATCTCTGCTGTGGAAGGGTGATTTTCCTTGAATACATAAGCAAATATTTTCCAATTTTGGGACATCCAGGATTATGCAGTTCTGCTTTGTGTTTAAACTGGCCTGTATTTTCCAGCATGACTTACCTTTTAGATATAAAACAACACATTTTTAGTGCTTAGCCCTTCTAGAAAAAAATACATCCCTTTAAAGGTGTCCTGTTTGTTAATTTTAAAAATAGCAACAGAACTTCTGGTAACTTCTAGAAGAGTACCTGCATTTGTGGTCATCAGTAGCATCAGCTCCATTCATCTGATTTTGGAATGGAAAAGTTTCATTTTTCTGCATGAATAAATTATATTTTGAGCATTGGCTGCTTTATTCAGCCTGGAGAAGAGAAGGCTCCAGGGGAACCTCATAGTGTCCTTCCAGTACCTGAAGGGGCTTTTTAGCAGGGTATGTAGTAATAGGACAAGGGATAATGGTTTTAAACTGAAAGAGGAGAGATTTAAGTTAGACATCAGGAGGAAATTCTTTAGTGTGAGGGCAGTGAGACAGTGGAACAGGCTGCCCAGAAAAGCTGTGGAAGCCCCATCCCTGGAAGCATTCAGGGATAGGTTGGATGGGTCTCTAAGCAACCTGATCTAGCGGAAGGTGTCCCTGCTCATGCAGGCGAGTTGGAACTCAATGATCTTTAAGGTCCCTTCCAACTCTAACCATTCTATGATTTATTCTATGATTTCTAGCCTCCATTCCCAAAGAGGATGCCACCAACAATAGAAGAATGCAGGCTCAGTATTTGAGTTGGACACCTTTGGACTTTAGCAGTCTGTAACTTCTGAAGTCTTTTCTGGTGCAGCTTAGGGATGGAATATTCCTACAAAAACCATTGGAGAGAAGGATTTTTCTTTTTAATTCTTAGATAGCTGTGGTGATCTCCTGCTTTGGTTTACTCATTTGAGGTATTTCAGGAATGATCCTGCAGTTGTGATCCTCGGCAGGGTTTTAAATATGTGTAAAGCTCAACATAATAGTAGAGGTTTGTTTGAATAATCTTTGTATGAGGGAGATCCTGCCTGCTTCCCTGCCCAGGGTGCAATGCCTCCTGCAGCCATTCAGCTGTATAGCTAATTTTCAAATCAACTAAAGTTACACATTTTCTTGACACAGTGCTGGTGCATGCTGTTCTCTGTAGTCTGAGGCTCTCTGCCTGTGGTTCATAAACACATTTACAGTCCCATTTGCCTCCCTATGCTCAGAGGGGGTTGGTTTGCATTTCTAATTAATTGACTTTATAAAGAAATCAGCCAGTACGTTAACTGAAAATTCCCTCAAGAATTGTAAACTTCCTTCATTAGCTGCCCTTGTGTAATGATATCAACCTTTTCTCTTGTAAGCCTAGGGGAGACAAATGCTACATGGAGCAGAAACCTTCCTCTGGTATGAGCTGCGAGGGGCAGCAAGTCTCCCACGAGAACACGTTCTGCAAGCCAGCTCCTGTTCACCTTAACCTCTTTGTCCACCTGCATGTTCCTCCCATCAGCTTGATGTCTCTGGCTAAGGCAGCAAATTATGTGAGGGGATTGAAGGACCTTTCTCAGTGGAGTCAGAGAGTAGGTGGGAGATTTCAGAGAATGCTGTAATCTAGCTGAAGTAAGATACATAGACTCTTTGCAGGAGCTGTGGTTTCTGGATGCAGGAATTTACGGAGTCTGAACTGTCTTTACGCTGTGTGAAGACAAATACCATAACTTCCCACTGAAGTCAACTGGGAGATGGTGGGTGAGCACATCTAAAGGTTAAGCACACCATATTTCAGTTTTAACCAGAGTCACTTGGTTTAGGATACATCTTAAGGTATTAGTTTAAGGCTGAGAAGCTGAAGGATTTAAATGATAGTTGGCTCTGTTCAAGTCTCTTGACCTTTATTTTATTATTCTTGGTTAGCAAGCCATTACTTAGCAAGGTAGATTAATCTTGCAACCTGTTTGGGTAAGTAACTGGACTTCCTTTTGCTTTCCACAGACTGGCGTTCAGAATGGCAGGCTTGTCCACTTTAATCCTCCTTTTGTGTGCTGCTAAAGATGTGGTGCCCTCCAGTTCTCACTGGAAGCCAACTTGGCCATCTTACCGAGTTCCAGTTATCCTGCCACAGTCTACACTTAACTTGGACAAACCACAGTTTGATGCTGAAGCCAGACTGGAAGTGGTATCTCCCTGTGGCCCAGCGTGCCATAAAAGTTCCCCGCTGCCAACTTATGAAGAAGTGAAGAACTACTTGTCCTATGAAACCTTGTATGCTAACGGTAGCCTCACTGAAACTGAAGTGGGCATATATATTCTGAGCAACAGCGGTGGTGGGTCTCAAGGCAGATCTCGAACTAAGAGGCAGATCTATGGCTATGACAGCAGGTTTAGCATTTTTGGGAAAGACTTCTTGTTGAATTACCCATTCTCCACATCAGTGAAGCTATCTACAGGTTGCACAGGGACGCTCGTGGCTGAAAAGCATGTTCTTACTGCTGCTCATTGTATCCATGATGGCAAGAGTTATGTCAAAGGAGCTCAGAAACTGCGGGTGGGGTTCCTAAAGCCCAAACTGAAAGATGGCAGCAAAGGGGCCAATATCACCAACTCAGCAATGCCTGAGAAAATGAAATTCCAGTGGATCCGAGTGAAACGGACACACGTCCCCAAAGGATGGATCAAAGGCAATGCCAATGACATTGGCATGGATTATGACTATGCTTTGCTGGAACTGAAGAAGCCTCATAAAAGAAAGTTTATGAAGATAGGTGTGAGCCCACCAGCACGACACTTGCCCGGTGGGCGGATTCACTTCTCTGGCTACGATAACGATCGCCCAGGAAACCTGGTTTATCGTTTCTGTGATGTCAAAGATGAAACGTATGACCTGTTATACCAGCAGTGTGATGCCCAGCCGGGTGCGAGTGGCTCTGGGGTGTATGTGAGGATGTGGAAGAGGCAGAATCACAAATGGGAGCGTAAAATTATTGGCATATTTTCAGGCCATCAGTGGGTGGACATGAATGGCACCCCCCAGGATTTCAATGTGGCTGTTCGCATCACACCCCTCAAATACGCACAGATCTGTTACTGGATCAAAGGCAATTACCTTGACTGCAGGGAAGGATAAAGACAATGCAACTCCTTGAGAGCACTTAATGACTGCTTTTAATTACTCATCTGGGGAAAGTTTAGACTTCTGCTCCAAATGTGTGTGGTGCACTCTTGTAACATCGCGATGGGATATCTAGCTTTTCAAGCAAGCCACCTTGTTCTCCGGACAGGGGCTGTGTGGTGCTGTCATTACAGCTCAAAACTGGGGAGAAAGGAACGTCTGCTGGGTGGGGAAGGAGCAGGTGGACTTGCTGAATTTGCAGCTGAACAACTGAAGATTAATTAGGGGTGGATCAGTAAACAGTAGGACATCAGAACCGTCTCCAAAGAATCTTACGAAAGGGAGGCTGTTGACTGTCTCATGCCTACAATGTTTGTTTTAATAAATCCTAGGATTAGTAGAAATGCTTTGATCTGAACTTGTAAAAGAAAATATTTCTATGCTGTTGGGGGCTGAAGAGGGCATTTAATGGTGTTTGCAACCCAAACATTGCAGCTTTGTGTTCCTGCATGAGAAAGGGAGTGTGAAAAGGGCAAGGCCTCTGTGGGAGATGGCTGCCACACAACTAGCATGGGGGGTAAATAGCTGCATAACACTTCTAACCTTCTTTTGGCCTGAGTGATTTGAGACTTTATTAGTAACATAGTTAAGAAAAATGCTTTTTTGAGCAAACAGACCTTGATGCTGCAAGGACTTGACTGTGAAGATGATGTTGGTCTTATGAGCGGTGCCACTGCATCCTGCTTTGGGAAACACAAATCATATGTGGGCTGAAATCTTTATAGCAGCTGGGGCATTGCGTTACACCTAGCAGGGTCCCTATGACTATATGCTATTGTAGAAAGTGTATGGGGACAGAGGCTTCTTTTCTTTAGATCTTTTAAGGAAAATCATGTGTCAGCAACTCAGATTCTCAGAGGGGAAGTCTGTCTTTGGCCTTGCTGGCCATCTGTGTTGCTGCCTGTAAAGCAGGTAAAGGGGAGAGCAGGACAAGGGTTCTACTGGGTTTTCCCCCTTTTTGTTGAAGATCCATACTCTTCTACCTAAAAATACACCGGGTGGAGGGACCCTGGATTTGCAAGTGTCTCTCTATCACATCCCCTTGACAGAATAATTTATATGACATCTTGACTTCCATTTCTTCTGTTGTTTTGGAGAGGAATCCTCTCATCCCCTTCAAATTGTTGAGTTGCAAATAATTGTTGGCAAACGCACAATTCAGTAATCTGCAGCTGGAATAGTGCCACATTATAGGATGTAATCTGAATTTGCTACGAAGTGTTGCTCTGCAGAGATAACAGTGACTTACCTTAGCAGAGTTGGATATGAAAAAAACCCCTGTCTTTTATAGGTGAAATCAGTGCAGCTCAGCAAACAGCATTGGCAAGTTAATATGGTCTGTACAAACAGTGTTTCTCAGGTGGATTTTGCCACTCTATTGCAGTAACATGATTACATATGTGCTGCCATGCCAATATTATTCTTTTAAATAGGAGGTTAGACACTGGCTCCAGTTCCAGTTTCTCTTCCATCCATCTCTCACTGTCTCCTGAAGCTTACCCACTTGCCCATGGCACTTAGTGTTGTGGGGCAAATGTAGGTCCCTGGGGTGAAATGGCAGAGCTGGGAAGGACTGAATTTAAGCCAAGCTTCCCTGTGCTATACAAGGAGAATGTTAATTTAGCTATGCCTTCCTTACACTCTACTAATTACTATGGCATTTGTAAACATATGCCTGATGGTGCTTTATCTTTGTGATGGCTTTGGCTCTAGTTCTGAAAAACATTTTTTGCTAGAGCTGCCCATGATTATTATTTTTATAGGTGCAGCATAAAAAAAACATGGACCCTCATGTGGGCTTTTGGTGCACTCAGATACAAGCAGTTACTAATGCTTTGAAATATGAATAATCACCATATGTATTTGATGGTCTTTTTCTGCCTTTTTATTTTAATTTCCTTTCCTTTATGGCTGTTATCTGGAGCACTTTTGTTTGAATGTATCACAGTGAATAAAGAAAAGTTATGGAATTTCAATGCAGACATTCTTGTATTTGTACTATACTTAGGTTGCACTTTCAGTCTTGTTTCAGTTACTTATTTGGAAGGACATTCAGTTGCAGAACAGATGTATTAATATCTCAGTGTTGTTTGTCTTCCTTCAGTTTTCTTTTGTCCCCACCTGTTTTAGAAGTAATTTATTATTCTTTTTACAGTAGGCTAAATTACTTTGTGTCTTTGAATAGTAATAATCAATCTTAACTTTCATAAAATTGTTGCAGTTCCGAAGTCAGTTATGAGCTCAAATTAGTTAAAGCTGAAAATAATGCATTAGAGAGTCAATTTTTTTTTTTTTTTTTGGACTTTGGGGTTGATAAATCATGGAGGAATTTGAGCCAGTCAGTATAAGGTCATAAATTAGGTCTATTTTTATTTTTTTTTAGTTGATGCAGTAAGAAAAACATTCCTCTGAGGCCACCAGTGAGACCCACAGTTGTTTGAGGAACACTGGAGTGCAGAAATGTTCTACTTTTTGATTTGGGAATTGCTGTCCATCCATCTTTCCTGATTTCTGGATGTTCATGCTACATCATGTGGGCTAGAGAGCATCAGTCCTGGCTTACGGACCGTATTTCCCATCCACTGGTCCTGTGTTCTCAACTGCTCCCTTGGAATGTAGACTGAGATCTTTCATTCTCTTGAGATGACTGGCAGAGTGGAGTTGTGCAGAAGGCAAAAATGAGCTTGGGTAATGTGAGCAACTCGGTTCTTTTAAAAAAAGTCTGTGCAGCTAGTTCAGTGTAATTAGGGTTGGGAGAGTCTCTTTCTACTGTACACCCTATGCAAACATTCCAGATTGTTTTTGGAAAGAAACCGAAATCTCAGATAAAGTGGGTAGAATTGTTGTGCTAAAGCTCAACATTGTTTTGCCTGGCCCCCCCTGAGCTGGTGGTAATTTTGCCAGTGTATTCATTCAGAGTGGGGTGGGGCCATTGCTGGGCAGGTTTGGGAATTGCGCTGGGAGTGTTATTTGCTTTGATGCTCTAAACAGGACTCTTTTACAACCAGACCTTGAAACTGAGAAAGACAGCCATGTGGCTAAGGTGCTTCATCAAGGAAACACCAGTCACTGAGCTATGTACAGGTATGACCCTAGAAATATTATTGTCCAGCTGATCATGTCTGCCAATGATTTGGAGAACTGAATCAACTGCCTCATTATTCTTGTATCTTAAGGCAGGACAGCTAGGGGGGAGGGAAGCATTTAGTTGTGAAAGGGTTTAAACTTTCTGCTCCTGCATCTTCAGCAGTCTGACATATGAAAAATTCCAGTTCATGTGCTACAGCTCCCTTAGAGAACAGAGCTGGAGGTGGAAACTGAAGTCTCAAGAAAGCACAGGCCATGCCAGACTCTTCCAGAGCACATGCTGGACTTAGCCTACTGAAGACTGTGGAATAACATCAAGTTTCTTTCTCAGAGGAAAGGTATTTTCCTTGTATCTGTGATTGTTTTGCAACTGAATTCCCAGGCCTGCCTGTTCAGAGGGCAGCCCTTGTCTTAAAGTTGCACGCTGAACTCCAAGCAAGTAGAATACATGCTTGGAATTCTTTTCCGTGTTTCCACTTAATCTGCCGTTTGTTAGTGGCTTTTGGGAGCGTGCCAAGGCAGTGTGCACAGGCCTTGGGAAGAGAAGCTTTCAAAGAGTGGATAAAGTGGGATGGGTGGGTAAAAACTTCTTGGCTTTCCTGGAGTGAAAAGGAAGCATGGACAGAAGCAGAGCAGCAAAGAGTGAAATGGCAATATGATACATATCCCAGGAACAAGGTTCCTAGTGAACTGATTGCTGTGTTAGACACACAGGTATATGGATGTGCATGTGTGTAGGGTTTTTATTAAGAATAGTGTTTATTTCCATTCCCTCTTCCACTAGGTGTAGAAGGAAGACAGGAGTCGAAGTAAATTAAGCCTCTTAAATTGAGTGTGTAAATCCCAAACCTGAAGTCAGTCTGTAGATACAGAGGAAAGCATAAATCAGTGACATTAGCTTTAGGAGCTTGGTCTTTTCCACCCGGATGTTGTTTTTTCCTCACATGGTGACTATTAGGTCATACATGCATTGTGTCTGCCATTAAAGGAGTGTAAGTAAATGATTAAACAAGAGTAGAGTGATGTCTTAGCACGCCCTACACACTATTAGCAACACTGATTACTCCCAGGATAAAGTAATCTGTTATGGTTTGTGTGTGGATTGATTTTGAACTAAATGGGGATAGGTTGAGTCATGAAAGCAACCTCCTACTGTGTTTTATCTAAAGATCTCTAACAGTAATTTAGATCTCTAATTAAAGATCTCAAACAGTAAAGTGATTGTGGCTCAAGGGTAGACAAAGGGTGTTCATATGGAAACATTTCATGGACAATGTTTGGGTTTTTTTACAATAAATTCTCTTTAAAAGTTAATTATGCATCAGCAGAGATCTACAAGAAATTAAACACCTCTATTACTTCACCAAGCAAATGATAATTATATAAAACACTCCATTTAAATAGCACACATAATGAAAATACCTGATCCATGTTAACTGACATTTGCTCATTTGCATTCATTTCAGCTTTGGATCTCACTATTTATGCTGATGATTTGATGAGGAGAGAGTATTTTTCTGGTCAACTCCAATATTGAGAAAAGATGGGAGTATGAAGGTTTTTACCTCTTATTGGAATGGCAGCAGTAATAAGGTATAATACATTTTTCTAGCTTCTCCTAAACGATTTCCTAAAACTATTTAATGCCACATTTTCATAGATTTGGTGATTTTTCCACAGGGTGCACACATTAATAAGTTAATTTAATGAAGATGTAGATTTTAGTTTTTCTTTTATCCCCTTACCTGCAAAGTCAGATATGTTTACTGCTGTGGGCAGGTCAGAAGCAGACAAAAATGTTCTCATTTGTAAAAGTTCATTGAAGGCTTACCTAACATAAAGTCCCACTTCTGAGCTGAAGCTGAACTACATTTGCCATCATGCAGAAAAACGTAAGTTTAAATGGGGTAGCTGAGATGAGTTTAAACCTGAGTTAGCTAGAAAACAGTTCCTTTTTGGTATTTTCTCACAGTCTCCATCCTTTTTTTTCTGTTCTTGCCCATCCAGGGAAAAGAAAACTTCCTATGATGAAAAAAAATTAAAATCTTTAAAAATAAGGGATAAGGTGCACTTCAGAAAACCCATTTAACTGGTGGGTTTGTTCTTCCCTGCTGCAATAGGCTGCCCTGTTGGCTGCTCTGGGACAGGCAGGTGGCACTTGCCCTTGTTTTGACCAAAAATTTCCATTTGGGTCAAGGAAACCTTTCTGATAAAAACTTAGGGGAAATCAGGTTGTCTCAGCAAAGCTTTGCTTTCTATAAAATTGAAATGTCTATAAAATTGCTATCAAAAGTTGTTTTCTAATGAATTCCCAGTTAGACCCTGCTTCTGTTAACTTTTTCTGTGGTGGTGCTTTGGTCCCCATGGGAAGGGTGTCCCTTCATAGAAGATACTAGGGCTTACCAAAAAAATTATCTTGTCCAAGAGTCATGTTTTGACTGAATTTATTGCATTTTTGTTGGAGAATGAAGTACAGAGGGGCTCTTCTCATTGTTGGTAGGGAAGGGAGTATGTGAGGAGCTACACACTGCTGCAGCACAGG